AGGGGGGGGGGGGGGGTGCACTTTAATTAGCAAGCCATGCTAATTAAAAGCAGCTGAGCTTCATGTGTATCGGCATCCCCCACACTGAAACTAAAGGTGCTTTAAACTAAAGCTCATCGAAGGAGCTTTAGTTTAAAATGCCCCATCCCCATTTTTCAGTGCAGGGACACTGATGCACGTGAAGCTAAATTCTGTTGGAGTGCGTTTATTTCTCTGCTCCAGCAGACTCTATTAATTGAGTCTGTTCTGACACGCTGGATTTCTAGTGCATCAGAGCTGGCTCCCTGAATGTCTATAGGAGCCCAATGTGTATGTGGGATTCTCCCAGGTTAATGCACAGCAGTGCTACTACATGTTACAGTGCTACTACATGTTACAGTGCTACTACATGTTACTGATGTTTACTGATGCTGTGAATACATATTGACAGAACACTTGATCCATTCTGTACACAAAGTGCTGTAGAATGTAAAGAATATAAAAAATAAGATTATGTATGATTTTTTAAACATGTCCTAGGGTATCCCAGGTTAAGTATTATGACATCTGTGATGTTTTATCATATGCTTTTTAAAAAAAAGCATACTGTATCATATGCTACAAATTTAAACAAAGCATTACACAATTTCTACTGTAACTTCTACGCATGGCCTAGTTCTATGAAAATTTATGCACACAAGCAACTTTGCACATGCAGTTATTCCCACTGAGAGCAATAGAACTACTCAGAAATGCAATGACTTTAAGTGTATTCAGGAAAGACCCACTCTTAAATGATTCTGTAGAATTGTATAGATCAATGTGAAGACTTGTATTGATAACAACTGTGTGTGAAATGAACAGGTCAGGATCCTAACGTCCCAAGTGTGAAAAGCAAGTATGCTTTTTGAAAAACCCAAACTTTTCTCACGAATAACATTTCCTGCTCATATTTAATTGATCTGTTGCTTGGGTATAAATGCAAATATTTTGCACGTGTGTGGAAATGACTTTCTTACTGTACAGAAAAGAAGGTTTGATTTATATTTATTTTGCTGAGCTAAAACCAGAATCAGTTGAATTATTTTTAACATGCCTTTATAAATAATAGTACCATGAGAGTAATAAAATAATATTGTTACAATATGATAACAATAAGCATTTATTTGACTTGAATGTTGCCTTATTTTATTAAGGGTTTATTTAAAAGTGCCCAGATATATCATTTAAAATCTATCTTAAATTCGACACAATTGCTTTTGAAGGTTAATAGTATACTAATTTTAATATAGAAATATTGTATTAATTTAAAATATGATTGCTATGTAAGGATATTAATTTCGACGTATATTGTGGGCACAGTATTCCAAGCCATACAGCAAGAAACTAGAGCAAATGATATTTTAAAAAAACAAGACTAGTCAAATACAAATCTAAAACCACTATTGTACTATGAGGAAAAGGTTGTGCAATGAAAAGACTGTAAACTGAAATTTTCTATGAGGTGCTGTTATCATCTGATAACCTGTAGGTCTTTGAAGTGGGTTAGTTCTAGTCCAGTTCCTCATGGTAGATTCTGAATGTCACCATATACCACCCAAGTACTTAATTTTCACTCTTGGCTGGTTGGGAATGGGGGCTTAAAACACACTTCAATGTGTGG